CAATCACTTTCCATCTTCAATCATTTCTTTTAAAAAAGCGTGAAGTATTATAGCCATCATTCATTTTTACTAAAAGACAAGCAACACGTATTTTTTTTCCTCTACATACCTAGACGTATATATATATATACAGTTGTTCGATTATATGTACAAAATTCTCTTTGTTCTTTCTACATGTGGCTATCACTTTGTATATTTCAATAAAAAAATGCCAGCGTCCAAATATCGTGCTCCAGGCTGTCGCACGTGCCCGAATGTGTCTCCACTCATGGGTCTCAGAACCATGTATCTCCACTGCGTGCGAGCAAACGCGCTATTTTCCAAAGTAAAGCTAGCAGCAGAAAAATTACGGATCACAGCAGAACTGGACAGACGTTGCGTCGTTGTCCCAAACTTAATTTCCATTATAATAGCTAATATATTGCGTGCATCTGTTCGACCACGATCAACGTCTGGTACCGATATCAACTAAATGGAAAATTTTCAGTGTTAATGTGACTGCAGAAAGTTTAGTATTAAAACACTTACAACATTATCACCAACATTAAAAATTGCTAATTTTTGTTTTTTAGCTGTACGTTGTAAAAATTCGTCGGCTTGCCGCTTCTGACCTTCTCTTGCAGCTTGACGAATTTCATTTGTTCGTGCGTAAGTTTTAGACCTTCGCTTTTATTATTTGCTCTATCGGCTTAATTCATACATGATTAGTACACAGTTTACAATTAGTTGTGTCATATAGTGACTGCGATTCTTACTGTCACGGAGATGAGTCTTGGTAAGTCGTGGATGTTGGGGCATGACTCTCTATAGTCGCCACAAGAGTCCATACTGTAGCAGTTTTTGGTGCTTTCGCGATCATTGCATTTTCAAGAGTCATGTCGTGATTTTTGCAGATAGTATGGTATTTAAATGAGGGTTGTCAGAGTTCCAGTGTATCAGCGATGTAGTTTTATGACACATTATGTCAGACGTTTTTTCATAGCAAAATTATACCAGAATATTCATAGCGTCTAAAATGTTGATGGCTTGAAGGCTTTTGTTATTGGTTTTTATTTTCGTTAGTTTTTTTCAAGAAACTCTTTCTATGTACGTTAGTATGTAGACAAAGAAATAGACAAAAAACCTATTTATTTCCTAAAACCGTGACTTTTATCAACAGAAAATCTTATAAAGAAGCTTCGGCGTTTGGTTAAAGAATCATCAATTTCGCGTTTTAATCTAAAAATGAGGAATTATAATAAAAAAAAATAATCCCAGAAGATCTGATGCCGATTACCATTTTAACGGAAAGGCTTTACAATATCTATCCATGAAATAAGACAATATATTTTCAATTTAGCTTTTGAAGAGCCAAATAGATTTTCCAAAGATTTTCACAAAGCCCTATCTTGAAAAATATTTTTAAATGTATTTTGCTTATGAACAGGTACGCTAGGTAATGCCGAAAACTGGGACTTTCTAGCTTTTTTCGTCCTGAAGAATCTCGAAGAACAACTGAGATCATTGTCTTAATCAACGAATGGTAGTAAGCTTCATGGCAAAGGGATGGAAGTTGCGAAAATCTGCTGAATTTTGTCTTTGAGAAGAGCCTATAAAAAAGGACATAAAGTATCTTGTAGCGTAAAAAGCTCTTTTGTATAAAGTATTACATGTTTCCTTTCATTTAACTGTTGATTTGCAAAGCAAACTGGAAGGACTAGTTTGATCAAAATCAATAATAAAAGTCTTCCAAAGATAACGGGTTCTTAGAGAAAAAATTCTCCAAAATGTGGGCTAGTTTAGGTTTAAAAATAATTAACGGCTGATGAGATGTAAGTTATATCACTCTATTCAGTGTGCTTTACATCTCTTGGTTGACTGAATAAAGTAAACATATTTGTCTAACTGGCTGATTGCACTCTCGTAAGAGGCAAAGACTTTCTAATAAATTTTATCACACTAAGACTGCTGAAAGAACAGGACAAATACGAAGCCTGTAACGTTTTCGCTGAGGAGATTCGGGACGACTTTTCGTAAGGTAAGTAACTTTCAAAATTGTTTTCTAGAGTCGAGTTTGTAGATGATCTTTGGAAAACCAGTCTGGTATTTCTGAAACTAAAATGATAATAAAGCGATATTTTGAAATGGGAAAATGACCTCTTCAGAATATCCAAGCAAGATGTTAATTTCCAGTGGTTCAGGTGTAGCATCAGCTTTCCTTGGAGACTTAGGACTGATACCTGGTGACTTGAGGCCACCTTATGAGATATAGATAATTACGACTAGATCCACCCTGACCAATGTTAACTTTCCAATAAAGATTCCAAAACTTGCTAAAAATCGAGATTTATGAAAATCTGAACTTTCTGGCTGTTTTGACCTAATGCGTTTATTCTAATTCTTTGTTCTTACTGTTCTTTTGACGTCACATGTATTATTCAGTGGGTATATTACGACAACAATTAGTTTTCAACTAAATTCAAAATGTTGAAATATCCAAAGTGTGTAATCAATCAAAAATGATTAAAAATAAGTAATGTGAACAGGGATGCACCGGTTGTAACCGATATGTCTGTTACGTTTTCCTATGGTC